AACTGGGAAATATAATGTATAAAAATACATTAAAATATATATATTTACATATGTATTATATATATTAAAATATATATTATATATAAAATAGATATAATGTGTAAAATATATTAAAATATATGTGTAAAATATATTAAAATATATTATCTATAAATATATAAATTTAATATATTAAAAACAAAAATATATAAAATATTTATTAAAAGTGTAAATTTATAAAATATTACATAGAATATAGAATATATATTATATATAAAATATATAATGTATTATATTATCTATAAAAATATCTAAAATATCTATTCTATATAAATATACTATATAAAATCTATATAAATATACTATAAAATCTATATTAAATATACTATATAAAATCTATATTAAATATATAATATATTAAAATATAAATATATAAATATAAAATATATAACATATCTAATATATAATAGTCTATATAAATATAATATATAAATATATATTGAACGTATAACACATATAAATATATTTATAAGAAAATATATAAAATACATAAAAATATATAAATACATTTATATATAAAATATATATCTGTAATGAATAATATTCTATATAAATATACTATATAAATATATATTGAATGTATAACATATATAAATATATTTATAGAAAATGTATAAAATATATAAAAATATATAAAAACATTTTTATATAAATTATATAATATCTGTAATGTATAATATTCTATATAAATATAATATATAAATATATATTGAACATATAACATAAATATATTTATGGGAAAATATATAAAATATATAAAAATATAAAAATATATTTATATGTAAAATATATAATGTATATAATATATTATATTCTATATATAGGATGTGGAGCTGGCCTGGACTAACTCTGGGAATGTTCCCTCCTTTTTGTTTTCTCTCCCCAGTGCTGGCATAGGACGCACAGGCACCATCATAGTGATCGATATTCTGGTGGATATCATCCACAGGCAAGGTGTGTGTCCCTGCCCACGGCCACTCCCTCTGGGAAGGGAGATTTGGCAGCAACACAGCCCAGGGGAGGCTCTTGTTGGCATCAGTGGGGCCAGGATTTCCAAATAAACCCCCAAATTCTTCCCTGTCCAAGGGCTGTCACCCTCACCTGAAATTCCAGTGCGGTTCTGGAACTCCCTGGGGTGTTTTTAGGGCTGTTCCAGGAGCCCTGACGCAGCTGGACCTTCTTTGGATCTATTTGATAAACTTTTCGAGGGTGGGAAGTTTGGATTTGTAGGAAGTTGCTGCAGAACAGACCAAGTTCCCCTCCTCTCCTTTTGCTCCAAGCAAGTCAGCCCTTCCTCAGCCCTTCCTCAGCCCTTCCTCAGCCCTTCCTCA